CAGAACAGAAGCAGCCCTAAAGGCTCCTGCACAGCTATTTATACAGTTAGCCTCTAGGCGGCAACCAATAGGTTTAAAGCAGCGGTTCTCAACCTATGGGTCGCGACCCCATTTGGGGTCGATCGACCATTTCATGGGGGTCGCCAAGCAAGGCTGTCCGCCATTTTTTCCCCTTTTCCGGTGGGTGCCTTACCTCCCTTGAGCTGGGCCAGCTGGTGGTCGGCCTGCTCTGTCTCTGCCACTTGCCAGCTATGCCTCGGCCGGCGCAGAGGGCGGAACCACATATGCGCGGCGCTCCCGGGCTGGGAAAGTCCACGACTTACGACCGGTTGGGTAGTCCTCGAATTACAACAGGTTTAGTCCTCGACTTACGACGGTTTAGTCCTCGACTTACGACCAGTTGGGGGTCGCGGCATTAAAAAGGTTGAGAACCACTGGTTTAAAGTAACAGTTTCCCGCCCCAAACCTCATTATCAGCTTGGAGACAGCCAGTCTGGCTTTCAGTAACAGCAACTGTTAAACAATACAGCAATGTAGGTCAGACATTAAGCAAGTGATTTAAAACAGTTGTGGCCAATACATTACAAGTATTATGTCTCATCCTTCTTTATTTCTATCCAGTTGCTCAGTGGTTAAAGACATAGAGTTTGTCAGCTGGAAAGCTGACAGCAGGGTTGAGACCCAACCTCTGCACAATGGGGTATTTTTTTTTTCCTTAATGACCATGGAATTTACTTAAATGACCACAGTGCTCCTGTAATTACTGCTGCAAAATTGCCAGAAATCAAGCCTGGTTATATAATGCCTCAACTTAGGATCGCAATGACTTACAACCAAAATTTTGAGGACTACCTGTATTATTCATTCTTGTACCCCAGATATAGTAGCCTTAAGAAAAACTAGAACAGGCAAGGTAACTCATATAACAAGAGAAATCTTTATGGTTTGGGTAGGCCATACCATAGCTTAACTGCAGAAAAGATTCTGGGGCTTGTTTGAAAAAGGACCAGAAGAGATGCCAAGTCATCATCTTGGCAGTGGAGGGTTGGGTAGGAATGGAAAGAGAAAAGGAATTTTTTTTTTCTTTTTCTAATTCAGGCTGGAAAAAAGTTTCAGTGTCATAGCATCCTCTACTGATGAAGAAAAATACTGCAGGTTTTTTTTAAGGAAGAACTTTACTGTTACCCCATTTAGAAATAGAAAAAAAATAATAAAATAAAATGCATAGGGAAAATAAAATAAAGAAAAATAAAAAGCGATCCCACTTGTTTTAGGCCAGCTAACAGATGTTGTTACACTCCTGGTGTATGAAGACAGATGACTATAAGAAAAGGATTTGGTCGCTAAGATATTTGTGAAAAAAATGGCAGAATAAATTTTGAGTTCTTCTGGAATTTTCCATCCACATGTTCTACACAGTTTCTAGAGGCTGAGGTTCTTCAGAGGTCCCAGAAAGGAATCCTTGAGAACTTCTCCATAAGCCTCAAATTCCCAGTTTTTTTGATTTCTCAAAATTATCTGGGAGATACAGTCATCAAGACAAAAGATCCTAAGCTATGACACCCATTTCAATTCGAAGGTTTCTTGATTCTGTCCCTCTGTTAATGCAACCTAGGACTGTGTTGGCTTTTTTGGCAGCTGCAGCACCCTGATGGCTCATATTTAAATGATTGCCCACTAGGACTCCTAGATCCCTCTCATACATACTACTATTGAGCCTATGCATTTGGTTTTTGTTGATTTCAATAGCTAAAGATTGAAGCCCATGCTCACTGTATGTTTGTTTAAAAAAAATAAACTTTGAGATAGAAAACCTGTCCTTGGGTTTTTCTCTCCCATTTCCAAAGAAAAAGGGGAAAGAAGTGTTAGAGAATGGATAACCTACGAGCCTTTTTCTGTAGGCAAACCCCGCTCTTCTTGATTTTACTAAAAGCCAACGGAGTAAATAACTTTGCAGCTCAGCTCTTATGCCATTAGTAAGTGCTGCTGGAATTGGGAGGGTGATATAATTGGGAGAGAGTGGCTATAAAAAAA